GGAGCGAGGCCGCCAGAGGGCGGCAATGCGCAGCCGCGGCGCGGGTCGCACTGCGCCGGCGCGGCCGCCGGGGGGCAGCATCCGTCCACGCTCTGGCCCTGCGGGGGGTGGGGGGGGCGTGGCGCGGCTCCGACCCGCCCCGGCCTCGCACCGCCTCCGTGCACAAGTGATGGGTTGACGCTGTTGCTGACGCTAATTCGGTGTTTCCCCATCTATATCATTATCACTTAGGGTGTCGTTAATACTCCAGATTCCCCGGGATGGAACCCCGGATCGGCATTTTAGCTTCCCCATGCGTTTCTCTGCTCCCGGAACTGCAACCTACCACTAGCTTGAGCTGGCGGGAGGGGGCGGGAAGAGGGCAAGGAATGTCTCAATTTGCTTTCACGCTGAGTACTACCGAGGGGGTCGGGGGGTTAGCGTACCGGGCTCAAATTATTTATCCTCTCTGGGGCTTTACTATCTCATCTGAAACATTAAATAAATAGTACCTCCTTCATAGAATTGTCCTAAGAATGAAGAGATATTGCATATAGAGCACATAAGAAATGTTAGCCAACACTGGTTAAACATACAATAGAACTATGAAGGATGGGTGGATCCCAGTCCTACATTTCCTATATCCCATGCATAAAGAAATTTGCATTAAGACTGGAGCCCTTACTATAAAAAAAAAATTCATTATATCACAGATTTCTCTAAGCATTGCTAAATAGCTGGAGGAGACGAGGATCCAGCTCTTGGGGGACAAGATGGAAGATTCACAAGACCTGATCATACACTTGTACTTTATAGCCTCAATTCAGCAAAACATTTTTGTTTTTGATATTAAAATGACAGTTTACAGTAGACTGAAGGCCCAGATATTACCTCCTCGAGCAGAGCCAAGATGTTTCCAGTCTCCTACAGGCCACACAAATCACTTTCCTAGCTGCCACCACTGTTCCAAACTGCTATCAACTAGTACTGACTCTATATGAGTTGCTTTTGTTTATGTTTTAGTTTCGTTAAGGTTTGTTTGGGAAGGAAGCTCAAGAGAATACAGTAGAGTACCTTAGAGAGTAAGATGAAAATTAATATATAACGGTGAAATATACATTGTAATGAATATATACTACCACAAAGATAAAAAATAAAAACCATCAAGCAATGGCTTCTAAGTGACAAGCACTACAGGTCTCATTATGGCACAGGTATTAAATCCAGTTCGTTACTTCCTGCCTGAACAAAAATCAGTTGGAGCATGTTCCGCTGGCAATTCAAGTGCTCATCCCTTGCCTTATGACAAAATCGCCTTTATAGTATCACACAAGACCCACAAATTTCTCCAGGTGGTTTTGTCTTGAAAATTTGTGCTTTAATTCCTCTCTGATAAAAAATTCTATCAACTTACCATTAAACTTGCTGTATTAGTCCATTTGTGTTGCTATAACAGAAATACCTGAGACTGGGTAATTTATAAAGAACAGGTTTATTTGGCTTACGATTCTGGGACAGCTGCATCTGGTACGGGCCTCAGGCTGCTTCTACTCATGGCGGAAGATCACATGGTGAGAGGAAGCGAAAGAGAGAGAGAGAGAGAGAGAGAGAGAGAGAGAGAGAGAGAGAGAGAGAGGAGGTGCCAGGGTCCTATAAACAGCCAGCTCTTGTGGAAACTCATAGAGCGAGATCTCACTCAGTACCCCCACCCCCAGGGAGAGCATTAATCCATTCATGAGGGATCCACCCTCATGACCCAATCAATCAGTTTCCAGCACTGCCACACTGGGGATCAAATTTCCACAGTGGAAGGGACAACACATCCAAACTCCATCACTTGCCAATCAAGAACTACATTATCTTACTGCCTCACCCAACCTAACACTGTATACTGAGGGTCTTGTTGCCCCAAAATGCTGTATATCAACACCATTCCCATCAGAAGACTTTGGGGTTAAAAATCAGATTGCTGAGCCCCAGATCTTCATGGGGGAAGCCTGAAATTGGCATTTTAAACAAGCATTCCAAGTAATTTTTTTTTGCATCCATAAGTCTGTGAACCACTGCTGTGATGCAGGTGTTTCCTGGTTTACCCAAAGATATACATGAACATTGGATTCATATACTGTAAGAAAAATAAAAAGTAGGCCAAGAGAACTGAAACCTTTATTTTCCTTCTCAGAGATTTTAGCAATCACCATACATGAGCCCTATCTCCTATTCCTGTGGATGGAGAGAACAGGAAGAAAAAAAATGGCATTGACAGATGGGGTGTCAATTAGTGAAGGATGAGACCAACCGTTGTCCTTTCAAAAATGCATTTTATTGGCTGTAAATTTTGCAGTGCAAGACCAAGCACTGGGATGTGGGCTGTTTCTTAATTTTTAACAGAGTAAAATAATCCTTTTCCTCTAAAATATGAAATGAGGACAAAAGGAAATGTGAGTTCTCGCATTACCTATCCCCACAACCTACCCTCCTCCTCCCCGCTTCAACTTGGCAACGTTATTACCACTGCTGCTCTCTGCTGCTCCTCACCCATCTCCACCAGCCCATCAGCAGGTGGAGCTATGATGACTCCTTTGACACCAAGGGGTATGTTGACACCTCTGCTCTTGAATTCAAATGTTATTGTTCTGATTACACAGAGACTACTTGAATCCTTTTCAGGAAGTCCAATGAGAAGGCTACTTAAAATTGAAGTATCTAGAGGACATGGGGTAAATGTTTCTCCATCTTCTTTCATTCATTCCCACATGTTTTCTCTCTCATACATAATTTGCTTTCTTCTTAGAGAGGTAAATGGCCTTGGAAACTATGCCCCTGGTAAGATGATAATATTCATGCTGACAAACTCCAAAAAATCAATCCACGGAATGTACATAAGGACATCTAAACCACTACTCATTTGTGGAGCCAAAATTGCCAGCTTGGAGACTGGCACAAAGCCCTGAGTTTTCCTTGGAATTCCTGAATTTAGAGGCATCATGCAGGCATTAACCCATATTTAAGTCTGCCAAAGATGAATGCAAGTAGGTGGGTGGCTGAGGTGAGATTTTCAAGGTCACTGGGTTCTCTAGTTAAGAACAGGTGGGAGAGAGTAAAGTTTGGGCTCCTCTTCTATTATAGGTGAAAAGAGCTGACAGGTTTTTTATAAGACATGTCACAATCTAAAAATGATTCATTCTGCAAGACATGAAATATAGTTCTTAGTTTATAAAAATAGTACCACGATTTAAAAAAAAAAAA